GTAAGATGAGAAGCATTGTTTAACATTTCTACAAATCGTTTTTTTTTTTTTTTTTTTTTTTTTGGTGGTACGCGGGCCTCTTACTGTTGTGGCCTCTCCCGTTGTGGAGCACAGGCTCTGGACGCACAGGCTCTGGACGTGCAGGCTCAGCGACCACAGCTTACGTGCCTAGCCGCTCCGTGGCATGTGGGATCTTCCCGGACCGGGGCACAAACCCGTGTCCCCTGCATCGGCAGGCGGACTCAACCACTGCGCCACCAGGGAAGCCGCCTCTACAAATCTTTTTAATATCTCAATTAAGATGGTTGGATTCTCATACCTGCTTCTGCATTGTCTGTTGCAGTAAATTGTTTGGATTAAAATATATGAAGGCAATCTGTAATTGAAAAGGGAGAACCAACCTCCTGAGCCCTCTGAAACGGTCTTAGGGACCCTCAGCGGTCCTTGGATCACATTTTGAGAACCACTGTTGTATAGAAACTAACGGAGGTGTAGGATACCGCTTATGCGGATGAGCCATTTGTACACATAAGTTATTTTAATTTCAGTAGTGACTATAAATTTAGTAGTGTAGTATGAAGCCAGGTCATATTAATGGAATTCAAAAGCACTTAGAGATGGGCCTGAAGTTGGATATAGATTAGGGTTGAGGCCAGAAATGTAGATATTAGAGTTGTGTTGGGATAACTAAAAAGGAGTATTTAAATTCGGGGTTGGTTTTTTGGTCATTGAAGTTGCCAGCTTGAGAATTCTATTCTGATATCTTTCTGCTTATCTTTCATTACTCCCAGAGTAATGCATTAATTAATTAAAAATAGTATAGAAGGGCTTAATGAAAACAACAGTCCCTTATTTTCCTTCTCCCTGCCTCCCAGTTCCCCACCTTTAACGCATTTTGGTTTTATTTCTAACCTCCATATCACTAAATAGTATGCTGCTTTTTTATGTCTTAATTTATCAACTTTATGCATTATAGTTTGATTTCTTACAATCATGGTTAGGATTTCATACATACTCTCTCATGCTTCTCATTTCTCCTCCCAGATTCAGTGATAATGATTATTTCTGTTGCTTCAAACAATACACACCAATTCTAGTTCCATCAAAGGTAGACAGTATCTTGGTACTCTCTAAGAATCTTGAAACCCTTGTGCTTTACTTTCCCTCTCTCTCCACCCCATCCCCCAACTCAGCTCTCATTTTCCTTGTGATAACACTTATATTGTGTTCTGTAATCATAGTTTATCTTCCGTGATTTAGGTTGATTCTAAAACCTTAAAGCAGAAAACTGTTTCATTATTATGACTGTAAATAGTATTTACTCTGGAACCAAGTACTGTTCTAGGATTAGAATTCCTCATGTATTCCATTTTTACAACCCTGTATCACTTAATAGAGAATTTTTGCAGGGTCAATTTCAAACAGATTTTTCCTTTTTTACACCCTACTAATTGCTCAACTGAGATCATGACTTTTCTTGAGCAGTTTCATATTTCCTGAAGTCTTTCATTACCCTTTTTTCACACAAATCTTCTTGGTGCCTTGATTATATCATGAGATTTTCCCAGGCTCTTGGTCTGCTGTCTATTGTCCAGTCATCTGTTTTCCTAGACATCCTTCTCCTGGAGGCTTCTGTCCTTCCTTTGATTTCAGTCTCATAAACTTACTGCCTTTCTGGGCCTGCTGCATAGCTGCCGACCTGGGCTTTTATCTGTCTCCTGAGTTTGAATCCACTGTGTGTAGGATCCCATTATATCTTTCTTGTTTTATTTTTTGCTGAAGTACATTTTCATGTAGCTTCCTAAGAAAAGGCATGTGGGAGGTAAACTCCTTCATACCTTGAATGTCAAAATCATTATTCTGTGTTAATAGTTTAACTGGGTGCAGAATTCTACATTGATAATCATTTTGCCTTGAATTTTGAAGATATTACCCTATTGTCCTCCAGCCACTGGTGTTATCAGTAAGTCTGATTTTCATTTACTTGTATGTAGGTGATCTGTTTTTCTTCTCTCCCGGAGATTTAAAGGATCTTTTTTTCTGTCTTGTGTTATGAAATGCTATCAATATATGTCTCTCAGTGTTGTTCTTTCATTTCTGTTTTATACTCCGTAGATATTTGAATTTGAAAATACGGGCCTCCCTTCAATAGTGGGAAATTTCTTAATTTCTTCCATCTGCTTTTTTTCTTTACTCTAGAATTCCTTTTTGTTGGAGTATTAGACCTGCTTTATTTATCCATTCTCTTTTCTTTTGTCTTTATCTTGTCCATGTCCTTCAACTTTATCTTCTAACTAGTGTAAAATTCTTGTTTTATGGATACAAATTATGGAGATTTTTAAAATTCTTATCTGTTGCTTTGAGATATCCATTTCCCATGGGTTCATTCTTATTTCTTTTGCAGTTTATAGTAGGTTTTCTTTAAACATCTGGTGATTTTAGCTGGCTGTTTATTTCGGTAAGGCTTCTGGCTGGCCTCACTTTTTGGTAAGCAAGTAGGGAGCAGACCATTAACCTCCAGCTTAAGTTCAGAAATATGAAGGATGTTTTTACTCTTCAATATTAATAATTTCCTAAATACTCTCCCCCCCCGCCTCCCACCGCCAAGAGAAATACCCTTCCATTTTATGTCTGATTGTTTCTTTTTCTTTTTGGTATCTTTTTGTTTGTTTGTTTGTTTATTTATTTTTGGTGGCATTGCGTCTTCGTTGCTGCGCACACGGGCTTTCTCTAGTTGTGGCGAGCGGGGGGCTGCTCTTCATTGCGGTACACAGGCTTCTCATTGCGTTGGCTTTTCTTGTTGCAGCATGTGGGCTCAGTATTTGTGGCTTGCGGGCTCTAGAGTGCAGGCTCAGTAGTTGTGGCGCACTGGCTTAGTTGCTCCGTGGCATGTGGGATCTTCCCAGACCGGGGCTCAAACCCGTGTCCCCTGCATTGGCAGGTGGATTCTTTTTTGTGGTATGCGGGCCTCTCACTGTTGTGGTCTCTCCCGTTGCGGAGCACAGGCTCCGGATGCGCAGGCTCAGCGGCCATGGCTCACGGGCCTAGCCGCTCTGCGGCATGTGGGATCTTCCCAGACCGGGGCACGAACCCGTGTTCCCTGCATCGGCAGGCAGACTCTGAACCACTGCACCACCAGGGAAGTCCCTGTCTGATTGTTTCTTAAACTTTCTTACCCATGTTGTTTATATATTTGTTTCATAATTTATTATTTAATTTGTCCCAGTTTAAAACTGACTGAAGCTGATATGATTTAATTTATTCACAAAAGGATATTACCATCTAAGTAAAAGCTTCTGCTCTACTGGATGCTTGGTAAATGAAAATCTTCTCATATTTCACAAATTATTTTTAATGGCACAAGATTTGGGATTTTATGTCCTGTTCTATTTAAGTTAAAAAATATATATTTATTTTTGGCCACACGGCTTGTGGGATTTTAGTTCCACAACCAGGGGTTGAACTGAGGCCCTTGGCAGTGAGAGCACGGAGTCCTAACCACTGGACCGCCAGGGAATTCCCTATTTAAGAAATCATTTAAAGACAGTTAAAAGTCTTACATTTTATGTAGGGATATAATTTAACACCTTTTATTCTCACACCCCAGACTAGGCAAAAACCTTGATTTGAACTGTTTCAACTTAAGACTAATTTTTATGTAAACTAATTTGAACTTGACCTGAATTTTTAAAAATTAATTTACTTATTTAGACTTAGCTACTTGATACTTAATTGAACGGCTATAGTCCAGTGTAGTCATCTATGTCATGTGAAAGGCAGTTTTCCTAAAGGTATTTGAAATTGGAAGAGAATTTCCCAGATGGGTCTAAGATAACAAATCAGAGAATCTTTATTCTGAATAGTAGTCAGCTGCCCTAGCCCTTGACCCCCTGGGAACTGGGACTGGATCATCATTCTTCATGATGCTTTGGTGGAGCATGTTGTTCCAGCCCGGATGATGGTTAGGGACCTGGCTCTACAGAGCAAGTTAGGTTAGACAGCCCTAGGGATGTCTATGGTAATTGCTAAATGCGCTGGCATCTTTTTATATGATTCCTGGGAAGGGTGACTATAAAATTTATTGTTCAAACTGAGACACATAGGAGAGTGAGAATACTATTAATAATTATGCTGGGGCAATAAGCATAAACCAGAGCACAAGGTCATCCCTTCCTGAGTCGCATGGACTTTTAAAGATCAGTGGCAGGCTTCCCTGGTGGCGCAGTGGTTGAGAGTCCGCCTGCCAATGCAGGGGATGCGGGTTCGTGCCCTGGTCCGGGAAGATCCCACATGCCACGGAGCGGCTGGGCCTGTGAGCCATGGCCGCTGAGCCTGCACGTCCGGAGCCTGTGCTCCGCAACGGGAGAGGCCACAACAGTGAGAGGCCCACGTACCGCAAAAAAAAAAAAAAAAAAAAAAAAGATCAGTGGCAGTTTAAGTCAAATTGCCTGCCTAGTGTACTTGACATTCCTATTCTACTCCAACTTTTGTTTTTTGTCCTATAGGACATGTCTTGGGGACCATGAAATGTGAACAGATACTCGATAAAGAGCAGTGGGATGAATGAAAAGAGTATAGGAATTCAAGACTGTCTGAATTTTACATAACCATGTAGCCTCTACGTGGGAAATCTTATCAGTAAATGTTAGATACAAGTTTTGCAGAACTGGTGTATTTATATTTTAAACATAATTCTTTTTCTCAGTTCTAGGAATTTTGAAGAAGTATATGTTATTGGAATTTTTCTTAAGGACGTGGAATTATCCATTGAAAATGTCAATGCCCAACCAATTTCCCACTATTACCGTTTAAACTTCCCTTTTCCTGTCTTATAATTGGCATATATGTAGGAAATGTTAGCTAATTTTAGTATCAAAATGTGGAAAACCTCATCCAAATAGAAATTATAAGAGTTTCTTTGGACTCTGTTCTAAGTTTTTGTTTTTTTTTCTTTTTCATATTGGGCTGAAATCTGCCACCCTTCCATCCATTGGTTCTAGTTCTGTTCTCTGGAGCAGCATGGAGTAAGTCTCTTCTATTAGAAGGCAGCTATCATATCTTCCAAGGTCACTTTTTCTAGACTGAATGTCCCTAGGTCCTCTACTTTTATGTGAAATAATACCCATACTTATAAACTTCATATTGATTCCCTTTGAACACATCCAAATTATCAGTGTTTTCCATAATACAGTTAAAATATGATGGCCCCAGATTTTAATTCTGTGCCATATTTTTTTTTGGTATTGTGCATACCAGTGAAGAATACCCTGTACTATAACCCATGAATCAAACACTCTAGTTTATTAGTGCAGCTTCAGCTTACGTCAGGTATTTTTTTCTTAGCTATTCTTAACTGTTGGCTCATATTAAAACTTATGGTCAGGGCTTCCCTGGTGGCGCAGTGGTTGAGAGTCCGCCTGCCGATGCAGGGGACACGGGTTCGTGCCCCGGTCTGGGAAGATCCCGCATGCCGCGGAGCAGCTGGGCTCGTGAGCCATGGCCGCTGAGCCTGCGCGTCCGGAGCCTGTGCTCCGCAACGGGAGAGGCCACAACAGTGAGAGGCCCGCGTACCGCCAAAAAAAAAAAAAAAAACTTATGGTCAGGTAAATAACTGTTGGGGCTCTCCTTTTTTCAAGAAGGCATTTTTCTGCCTTGGTAATATAGATTTAGCAAGTGTGATTGTGAATGTATTACTTACTCAAGAGAACCTAAAACAACAAAAACGTTTTCATTTGCTAACATTTGTGGGCCTGGTTTTATGTGATATAGGCTCTCAATTTAAAAATTAAAGTAAATGCTATTTTAACTTTAGCTGAAGATTCATTTGATTTACAGTTTTAGAAACTTTTTGTCTCTCTGAGGTTTAAATGTTATGATTGCAAAGCATCTGACTTAGGTCTCCTTTTGCAACATGTGCTACTTTTTAAGAGAAAAAGAAATGTGTGTAATGAATTGCTGCCTGAAACCTGGAAAATTTATCTAAAATAATAGATATTCCATTGTAAATTCTGTACCTTAGAGCAGGATTTCTCAACCTCAGCACTGTTGACATTCTTTGGATAATTCTTTGTTGTGGATAGCTGTCCTTTATGTAACAGCATCACTGGCCTCTACCCACTAAATACCAGTAGCACACATCACCACCTCCTCCGCAGTTTAACCACCAAAAATATCTCCAGACATGGCCAGATATCTCCTGGAGGGCAAAATCTCCCCTAGCTGAGAACCACTGCCTTACAGCATCAGAAGTATTTAAGTCATCTCGGTAATAGTTTCTACCTTAAATGTTTTCCATAATTGGAGTTAGAATACAATATTTTTCTTGATATGATTTCCTTGTAGAGATTTTTTTTAACTATAGTACATAATAAAGAACTATACATATAACAAATACTTTTTTAAGTTCCTAGGTTGATCAGTTTTTTCTTTCTTCCTAATACTTCTTATCCCAGTTTGTCCTCCCTGCTTTGTGATATGATCTTTGATCTGAAACATATGTGTGACCATCTAATTTATTCAGATTAAGGAATGAAAATTATGCAACAATAACAAATAGGGTGTTGGTTAGGTGGTTTATTAAGCTCAAATACCTGTTCTTTTGTAGTCCATGATTAAATTATTGGGAAATGTGCTTTTGATTTAAGTTGATTAAACTCCTAGATTTTAAAAATTAAATTGTATTATGTTTATTCTTCTACTCCACGATATAGCCAGCAGCCAGCTTCGGGTGTAGCCTACTCTCATCCAACTACGGTTGCTAGCTACACTGTCCATCAGGCTCCAGTAGCTGCTCACACAGTTACTGCTGCCTATGCACCAGCAGCCGCCACAGTTGCAGTTGCCAGGCCTGCTCCAGTAGCTGTTGCAGCTGCTGCAACAGCTGCTGCATATGGAGGGTACCCCACTGCACACACAGCAACTGACTATGGTTATACACAGAGGCAACAAGAAGCACCTCCACCACCGCCCCCAGCTACTACACAAAACTACCAGGTAAGAAAACTACTTTCATTAGCCTTAACATATAGGTTCAGTGGCTTCAGTATTTAATGTAATGTCCAAGCCAATGCTTCTCAAATTTGGGTCTTCCAAAATATACCTCTAATGATACAGAAAAGTGAGTGTGCATTCCTATAATTTGGGGGTATACTCCAAGCATTAAGTTTCCTTGCAGTGAGTTTTATATTAATAATCCCCCAGTGCATTGCACTCCACTCTATATATATGTTTGCTTTAATTAAAAAAATATAGTAATTGGGACTTCCCTGGCAGTCCAGTGGTTAAGATTCTGCGCTTCCACTGCAGGGGGCGCAGGTTCGATCCCTGGTCAGGGAACTAAGGTTGCACATGCCACATGGCGTGGCCAAAAAACAAAGATACATTAATTACTGGTTAAGTATTTTAATTTCATTACAAGTTTTTGAGAAAAATTAAGACATATAGGGTCTTCTGCCCCTTTTTTAAAATTTTTATTTATTTATTTTAGGGTCTTCTGCCTCTTGTTGGTACTATGGCATTATTTATCCACTTGGGACACCCCTGTGTCTCCTATTTTGAGAACCATGAGCCTCAGCTGAATAGGACAAATTACATAGTGTCTTCTTGAAACTTATCAAGGGTGGAAATTCTATTGCCTAAATGTACATTCTTCCCTCAAGGTGTTCTTTCTTAGTTTGTAATAGAAATTGATCCTGCTCTTAATTCATCTAATTGCTTCTTGTTAGGTTTATAGGGACATAAAGGTCTAAGTCTGTTTATGGTAATATAATTCTCTTTATGTCTGATATGACACTAAATTACTACCTGCTTATTTAATTAAATTTGGCCCTAATCCTTTATCCCATTTTTTGTTTGTTTGCTTTTAGGATCTGTTTTTTAAACTTTGGTCCTTCTGGACTTTGCCTGGTTTTTAAATATTCTTTCTAAAATACGGGGATTTATTTTGTTAACTAAGAAACTGACATGAATCAGCAATATTAGTATTTGCTATTAATATTTAGCAGGTTACTAAACTCAGGATTACTTTAACATGTGTGATTGTTTTCATTATGTCCAGGGACAGAATATAATAAATTTTATTGGTTTTGATAGGATATATGAAGCCCATCATTTTCTGGGCCCTGCCAACTCTTTCTGCCTTTCCTCCTGCATACATCAGGTGTACCTCCCCAGTTCTCCTCATTATATGCAGTGCCAGAATTCACCCAGCTCTCCGTGATCTTCGTTGCCTTGGAGATTTATATTTAGCGTTCCTTTCCCTTGGAACCTCTGTTCCCCTTTCCTCCACCTGGAAGCTCCTACTCATCATTATGTTAATGAATAGTAGTAAATAAGGAAGAATGAAAAGAAAGCTGGAACAGTCACAAAGCTTAGAACACCCAGGTGTTCTTTACTGTGGCATCCATCTTTAAGGCAGATCCGCCAAGCAATTTTTTAATAAAATTAATTTTTAAAAAAAATAATGCTTATTTTAAAATTTTGATGATTTTTCCGATTGTAAAAGTTAAGCATACTGCTTAAAATGGTTTTGACCTTATTTGATGAAGTCCAAAATGAATGCCCTTTGTATTGAATTTGAATCTTCTGTCTCTGTTCATACATATTTAGGCTTTTGTTTTCTTTTATTGCGTTTTTAATATAGTAAAGATGAAGGTTTTTTTCCGTCTGCCACTTCGCTCATAGCAAGATTTTCTTTCATTCTTTTTCTTTAGGACTCGTACTCATATGTAAGATCCACAGCTCCTGCTGTAGCTTATGATAGTAAGCAGTACTACCAACAACCAACAGCAACTGCAGCTGCTGTAGCTGCTGCCGCCCAGCCTCAGCCTTCTGTTGCTGAGACCTACTATCAGACAGGTGGGTTTTATTAACATATGCCCTTTCATTGTACACTATTGAAACATATTATTCAAGGTGTTTTTTAACGAAAATATGCTTTTGAATCCATCTAAACTCATTGTGTTATATTACCTTGAGGGGCAGGTTCTAACCATGTCCTTCTCTTTCTCCACAAGAATGCCTTTGAGTCCCAAAGAGAGAAGATCTTGGAGGCAATTCATAATCATGTCCTTCCTTCCTGAAAGTGTATTTCATATCTGTTCTTCAGATTATAGTTCTTTTCCTGTTGAAATAAGCTGTACAAAAGAAGTTGTGGCAATAACTTCTGGCCACCTTCTTCTCTTTGTCTGAAATGCCCAGACATAACTGCTGACTGCCTTTGTAACTAGTGGAGGCCCTAGTATGGTTTCCATTTTGTGGACCCTTTTTTTTTTGGCCATGCCGTGCAGCTTGTGGGATTAATAGTTCCCCAACCGGGGATTGAATCCGGGCCCTCAGCAGTGAAAGCTCGGAGTCTTAACCACTCCGACTGCCAGGGAATTCCTGTGGACCCATACTTTTAACTCATCTTTCTCTGATCTGTAATGACAGTTGGTTCCGTTACCAGCCATTGATATTACAGTATGTATTAATGGTTTGAATGCAGGAAGTATTTTGTTTGCAAAGAAGCCTACATATTTGTAGTCTTTAAAAGATAGGTTTTTTTCATAGAGATTTAATTGAGAACTTTTAAAGCAAAGCTCTCTTAGTTCTGAAAAATAGCAACTCCTTTACTTTAATTTTTTTTTTTTTTTTTTTTTTTTTTTTTTTTGTGGTATGCGGACCTCTCACTGTTGTGGCCTCTCCCGTTGCGGAGCACAGGCTTCGGACGCGCAGGCTCAGCGGCCATGGCTCACGGGCCCAGCCGCTCCGTGGCATGTGGGATCTTCCCGGACTGGGGCACGAACCTGTGTCCCCTGCATCAGCAGGCGGACTCTCAACCACTGCGCCACCAGGGAAGCCCTGATTTATTTTTGAGTAATACTTTTTTATTACTATTTATTTTATTTTATTATTTTTTGGCTGCATTGGGTCTTCGTTGCTGTGCACGGGCTTTCTCTAGTTGTGGCGAGCGGGGGCTGCTCTTTGTTTTGGTGCACAGGTTTCTCATTGTGGTAGCTTCTCTTGTTGCGGAGCATGGGCTCTAGGCGCATGGGCTTCAGTAGTTGTGGCTCACAGCCTCAGTAGTTGTGGCTCGCGGGATCTAGAGCTCAGGCTCAGTAGTTGTGGTGCACAGGCTCAGTTGCTCCGCAGCATGTGGGATCTTCCCAGCCCAGGGCTCAAACCCATGTACCCTACATTAGCAAGTGGATTCTTTTTTTTTTTTTTTTTTTCCTGTACACTGGCCTCTCACTGTTGTGGCCTCTCCCGTTGTGGAGCACAGGCTTCGGGCGTGCAGGCCCAGCGGCCACGCCTCACGGGCCCAGCCGCTCCGCGGCAAGTGGGATCCTCCCGGACCGGGGCATGAACCCGCATCCCCTGCATCGGCAGGTGGACTCTCAACCACTGCGCCACCAGGGAAGCCCAGCAGGTGGATTCTTAACCACTGTGCCACCAGGGAAGTCCTGACTCAGATCTTTCTAGGGTACTTTTAGTTCTAAGATTGATTTTATGAGTCCCTTAAAAGTGGTTTAAAAATATTTTAAACCACTTTTCTTATCGTCTGACTTTTCTTATCGTCTCTTTTCTAATGATTTGTGGGTACAGTGAACTATAATGAACTTCCTGATTAGTTACCAAGGTTAAATAGATTGTGCTTAAGAGTACTAAAGTGATCTAAGAGTCAGAAGACCTTGGTGTAGTCTGAACTCTGACATTGACCATGTGACTTCTGTGAATCATTTAGCTCCTGGACATCAGGGTTTTTTGGTAAAATGTTGTACTCTTCTATATGTTGTGTGGATCAAATTTCATGCTATGTGTAGGAAAAGTTTTATAAACTCTTAAGTGCTATTTATTTCAAATACTTTAACTAGGCATGAAATGAGTTTGGCCCCTGATATTTGGGCCTTTCTCAGAAAATTACATTTGTATGCTTTACTGATTATTAATAACAGATTAATTATTAATTTAGTGATAATAAGTCTCATAGATTCTTAAAGTATACATTTGTTTTAATATGTTCAGGGACAGTGGAAAGTTTAGCAGAGACATTAATGGTAGCCATTTAAGAACAGCTGACTCATGCTATTGACATTTGAAGAATTAAGTCAGTAGCACCTTGTGGGTTGTAATTAGATTGAAGTTCACTATGGATAAAATCAGTAAAATGCCATGAATAGTATATGAAAAAGTTCCATGTAATTAAACATTGAAAACTTCACTGTGACTTAAATTATACTTTGAGGCTCTCTCTATTCTGTTCCCAATATTAAGCATAACTCTCAAGTAGACTGACTAGCCCAAATACACACATACACACACATACCCTTTTCTAAAAACTTTGTTTATTGCTAACATGTTTTAAATAGTGCTGGTGTTTTAGTTGGAAATTTTGAACAATGTCATTTTGGAAATATGTAAAAAGCATATGTGGAGGGATAGTAAATTTATACAGATGCTATATTTTATTAAGTTGGTGATAAGAATTTTATCAAGAAGAAATTGCTAACATAAAATTTACAGTTAATGATGTTTACATTTTTTTTCTAGGATACTGGTACAGTAACTATAGTGGTTCACCCTTCTAATTTTCTGATGTCTCTTTCCCAATTTAGCCCCTAAAGCAGGTTATAGCCAAGGTGCAACTCAGTATACACAAGCCCAGCAAACTCGACAAGTGACAGCCATAAAACCAGCCACACCAAGTCCAGCTACCACTACTTTCTCCATTTATCCTGTATCCTCCACCGTACAGCCAGTAGCAGCTGCAGCTACTGTGGTGCCGTCCTATACCCAGAGTGCTACTTATAGTACCACGGCAGTTACTTATTCTGGTAAGGCTGATAAACTGTGTTTAAATGAGTAACCAAATTAAAAAGAGACTCACCAAGAAACTATCTTGATTTTCTATGGAATGATCTTACTCCCAGTAGCAAGAATTGGATTAATTGATAGGCGTTAATACAAATATATGTGCATAATGTGACAAATGAACCATAATCGAAGTTGTAAGGGTTTTTTTGGTTTGTTTTTTATTAATTAGATAAAATAACACCTAGTATTCTACAGGGTCATTTCCTGTCTGACTTTTCCAAATGAGTTTGAAAGTTCAAAGTTAACTTCAGGAAATAACCACTGACAGATTCTTTATATTGTTTTTTCCAGCTCTCAAGAAGCTATATCTTCATATTTATCCTCAGGAATAAGTAACCTTGAAAATATTGGGGGCCTTTATAAACATCCATAAGATGATGGTTATATAACACATCTCTTGGAAGGACAGAGCAGATTTATTTTCCTTAAATAATCATATATTTTCCCTGGAGAAGAATAATTACTAAAACCTTCTTGCTGTGCCCACTGCTCTTCCTAATTTCCAGCTGAGGTACTTTGTAGTGTTGCAGTGATGAAAGTCACACATGGCTTTTTTGAAGACACTTAGCCTTGTATTACTGCATGGTTTGTTGTTGTTTTGCATTTTATTTATTCCTTAATATGCTGTCTTGTTCCATGGAGGATTTAAGGTGACATAGGCCGTTGCATTTCTTACCTCTTGATGTTTTTGTGGTAGCCTAGCTACTGAATTTCTAAACTATTTTTTTATTTTTTAGAGATTTTTTTATCTCTTACCCTATGTCAAATCCTGTGCTTGGTGCTAGGGATAGAAATCAGGCAGGCATGATGTATTTGGGATCAACAGTTATTGTGGCTGGAATACAGGATACATGGGGTAACTATCAGGAGCTGAGGCTGGAAATGTCAGTGTGGAAAGTTTTGTAGGGTCTGCTGTGGTGTCTGTGTTTATCCTGTGGGCAGACAGGGTGCTAAAGAGGAGATCTCAAGAAGGGGAGCAATGGGAACACATTTATAAGTTAATTAAGACAGCCATGTGGAAATGAACTGGCATGAGGAGATGATGTTATTCGGGATTGCCCAGTTACAACTTTTCTGCCTTTCTCTGATTAGCTAGTTATAAGTGTAAATGGAGTTATTTTAATGAAATCTGTTTGGACACTAAAAAAAAAATCCACATTAGCTTTAACAAAATAAGGAATACGATAGTATCCTTTCCTACTCCTTGTTTCTCTCTTGACTGTGCTCCTTCTCCCACTATCTTTTCTCTGTCTCAGTGTTCGTCTCTCTCAGTTGCTTGAATATACCTTACACAGAATGAAGATAATTATTTTTATTTACTGCTTTATTATGTAAGTAATACATCATTTTAAACCTTGAAAGTATGGATTAAAAAAGGAGAAAAAATTAAATTACTAGACATCTACCCCTAGACATTAATTACCATTAACATTTTAGGGCATGTCCTTCTAGACTTTCTTCCATGGGACTATGCATATATAAACATGGTTTCTTTATAAAAATGAATTTGTCTTGTATCTACTGTAGTGTAAACTCCTTTCCTCATTGTGAATGTTCTTTCTAAGTATAGAAATATACCATTCCTTGGTTTCATGTTTTTTCCCCAATTTTAGAAAATTTTAATTCTGCAGAAAAGTGAAAAAATATTATAGTACAACAAATGCCCGCACAACATTTACCTAGACTCACCAAGTATTATTTTAATACATTTGCTTTATCTCGCCTCTCTTTAAACATATTTTCAAATGGTTCAGCAGTGTTTTATAAGTTGCAGGCAACATGGTGCTTTGCCTAGAATTCTTCCACATGTATTTCCTAAGAATAGGGGCATTCTTTTATATAGCCACAATTCAGATAAGGAATTGGACATGGATATTATCTAATAAATTTTCTCCAGTTGTCCACAAATGTCTTTTATGGCTGGGCTTTCTCTGTGGTTAATGTATTTGTGTTTGTGCTTTGTTTTAAATTTAGGGTCCAGTCAAGGATTATGGGTTGTATTTGGTTGTTAGTTTCAGTTTCCTTTAATGTAGAATAACCCCTGTTTTTATCTTGTCTTTCATGACCTTGATGTTTTTGAAGAGTTCAGACCAGTCTTGTAGAATATCCCACAATCTAGATTTACCTGATTGCTTTTATGTTTAGATTCTGGCAGCTTTTTAGTTAATTAAACTACCTATGTGAGCATTACATTTCAGCACATCAGATGCACAAAATAAATGTCTGTTTATTCCTTATTGATGGTGCCAAGTATAATCACTGATTAAAGTGGTGACTACCAGATCTTTCCATTGTAAAGTTACCTTTTTCCATTTTATAATTAACCAAGTAATCTGTGGGCCTATTGCTCAACTACCTTTCTCTCTAAGGTGTTAGATCCTATGAAAATCTCAGTAACTGAATCAGGTTCTCCAATGGTGAATGCAAAATCCTTTTACTAAGAATCAATGTAAAAGGATTTGGATTCTTAGACATTCTTCCCTAAAAAGGAGTCCCCTCACCCCTTCTTTTTTAGTATTACTGTGGGCTCCTTTTTTATTCAGTGTAGTATCCATTGCTTTCATTTTTCTTTCTGAGGCACACAGTGTCCCAAATTTGGCCAGTGGGATCCTTTTCAAACCAACTCTGAGTCTTTTGAATTTGGCATCATTTGTCTTTGAGCACTTCTTTCCTTTCTGGCACAGTAAGATGTTATTCTGCCTGATTCACCATTGTATCCCTAGCATCCAGCATAGCATTTGACATAGGGTAAGAGATAAAAAAAACCTCTGAGAAATAAAAAAATATTTTTAAAATTCAGTAGCTAGGCTTCTAACAGCCAAGATGCAACAAAACATCAAGAGATAAGAACTGAAATTGCCCATATCACCCTAAATCCTGCGCAGAACAAGACAGTGTATTAAGGAATAAATAAAATGCAAAACCACAACAAACTTTGAGCCTTTTCTGCCCTAGACTCACAATTAGCCATTTCATAAAGGAGCGCCTTGGTTTCTGCATGGCATTGGTATTTAGAAACCAAGATCTATGCTTAGAAAAACATAGTTTTTAATGACTAATACTGTCTTATTGTATGCATGTACCACATTTTAAAGGTTCTTTTTGGGGACACTTAGTTTCATATTAAGGAAAAACTAGAAACGACACTAGGTAAACATCCTTTTATGTAAAGATTTGTGTGTTTGCCAGTTGTTTCCCTAGGATAAATTCCTAGATTTGGAACTGTTACATCAGAGTATATACATTTTTTAAGGAACATGTGATACACAATGTGAAATTGCCATCCAGAGAGATCATTATTAGGGCTTCTGAATTCTGTATCTGCAATTTTATATCAGCTACAACTTAAGTCAGCTATTCTTCTTATCTCATTAAAAATGAGTTCTAGAGTATTGGTACCTACGAAATGATGACTTGTAGTATGATGCATTTACTGTTGAAGTGATAATTTTTGTTTCTGATACCATACCTTTAAAAATTATATTTTAACTGCTATAATTATGCAACTTTCTAATTGACAGGTATTTATAATAAAGGTGCTTTTTAAGTGAAACTGTTTTAGCATTTCCAGATTGAGCTTTTACTTAATTTAGAGACACATCCTTATATTTATTTTCCCATAGTGCTTTATAAGAAATGTACGTTTGTTTCCTAGTAGTTATAGGAGATTTAAAGGTGTTCCTTAGCAGAATTCCAGAACCTTCAGCCTACCTTTCAGTTTATGCTTTGATTTTTTTTTTTAAAAAGCTAAGTAGTAAGCTATAATTAAGCTTACCTTTTTATTAGTTTTAGACTACATGTGTACAAATGAAGGAGGTTATTTTGTAAATATTATGCTTAACCTAGTGATTTTTGTTGTTTAAATAACACAGAGGACCTTATGATCTCTTAGCCTCAGTTTTTTCATCTGTAAAGTAAGTATAGTAATACCTGCAATACCTAACTTATAGTTCTGTTGTGAGACTTCACTGTGTCTGGAACACTGCCTCCCATATTGTGAATTCTCAATTTTAAACCTAGGGAATTCCCTGGCGTTTCCAATGGTTAGTACTCAGCGCTCTCACTGCTGTAGGCCTGGGTTCAATCCCTGGTTGGGGAACTAAGATCCCGCAAGCCGTGAGAGGTGCTGCCAAAGGAACAAAAAAAAACCCTAGAAGTCCTGGTCATCCAGCATTGTAGGATGCTGCTGCCCTTATTCTCCTTTTTATTTTCTTGATACATAATTCCTGAAGTTATATTTTAAGTGGCATGTTTACAGTTCCTACACACAACTAGTCATTTGGAAATTTTATATTAATAAAAATTTTATATAGAAATTATGGTCCTAACCAGTAATAATCCACAAGTAGCTTTGTTATTTTAAAAATCAGACAATTTTATGGTGTTGTTTAAAGAGCGAAATTTAAACTGTACATGTTTCCGACTATAAATGTGCAAGTATTTGGCTGTGAGCTTAATTATATTCTTTTATCACAGACTTCAGTAATAGAGGCCACTGGTAGGACTGACAAAGAATTTATTGATTTTTATAGAATTTTTCTTTTAACCAATTATACCAAGTGTTTTCTAATTTTTAGAACTCTGTTCATATGCTTATTATTGATGTGTTTACCTGCTTCTTTCTACTTTCATTTTTAGGTGTTTTCTTCGTTACCACATTTTCTTTCTTTATATCTTCGTAAGCATTTATATAATTTAATAACCTGACATATAAGTCTATGAAGGTTTTTCATAAAAGTTGCCCAACTACTTTCTCTCTCTCTCTCTCTCTCTCTCTCTCTCTCTGTCCGCTTTCAGATTCCTATGATTCTGATTTCCCATGAATCTTAACCTTCACCTTTCCAATTCTTATTTTCTCCCCTGTGTGTGTAATATATATTGGAGTCAATGTGTCATGAGTCTTTACTCCTCAGTATAGCAGCCTGCATTTGAGATACCAAAAAGTTCAGTTTTCCTTAAGTCGTTCTCCTGTGCCATCATGGCAACTAGGAATCTCTCTCTTGAGCCTTAACTCTTGGCCCACTCATTTCCACTTTAGGGGAAAGGATGATAATTAGGGAGTCCAGCAAATTTCCAGAGATCTTAGTTTAGGAAGCAGTAAGTTTTCCAGTTTTGTGATAACATAATCATAACATTACACCATGTATATATTATATCAATAACTAGTCTAATGTGTTACTCATCAAAGACTTTGAACAATGGAAATGGATAGAATCCATACATTTAACCAGAAAATTCAGTGCTTTTTCACCTTTTGGAAGATGAGAACCAGTGTATTTGGTTCTTTATTTCAAAATCTTTTCTTTGTCGTCCTAGATGTTCATCTGAACTCCAACTCCATATTATGGACTTCTGCTAAGCTTTATTCACCTTGCCTCTCCAGACCAGCTTCTATCAGCTCCTTGCTTTTATTGGTTGCACAACCCATCAGTCAGTCCCTGGGATTCAGAATCTTGGTGTCATCTTTGTGTGTTTTCCTCTTCTTTCACATATTTTATCCTCTAAGCCACCAAGCATGTAAAATCTTACTTTCATGACTTCCTTCTTTTTTCCTTTCTAGTATCCTAGTTCAGACTCTTCCTCAAATCCAGCACTTCCCAAATTATTCAGAGGAATTCTGCTTGGGGAAATACTAATAGTAGGTTCTATAACCACATAAGTTTATCAAGCCTATCACTTCCCTCCAACGGAACTATAAGCCTTCTTGAAAGCAGTGTCCAAGTCTTATTCTTACTTCATATCTCCATGACACCTGGCACGTATTGCGTAAATACTATGTTGGTTGACTTACATTAAAAGGAAGATAAGTGAGATTTTTTTTCCCCAGGTTTTGTAAATAGGCACATGAAAACCTACCTTTATTAGCAGCATTTATTGGATTTACATTCACAGCATTTATCTTGGCCTTTTATAATTATGTAATATAACCTTTGTTTGATTTTATCTGTAAGGTACATCTTATTCAGGTTACGAAGCAGCCGTCTATTCAGCTGCATCCTCCTACTACCAACAACAGCAGCAGCAACAGAAGCAGGCGGCGGCGGCGGCGGCAGCAGCTGCTGCAACAGCTGCTTGGACAGGGACCACCTTCACTAAAAAAGCACCATTCCAAAATAAACAACTGAAACCAAAACAGCCTCCCAAACCACCCCAGATTCACTATTGTGATGTTTGTAAGATCAGCTGTGCTGGACCACAGGTACTTATGTTGTATGCTTTACCATGAGTCTTCAGTGGTTGGGTTTTTTGTTTTTTGCTTTTTTCCTGTTGGTAAACTTAAAATAAGTGATTTAGGGAAGAGTCTATTTATAAAATCTAGTGAGTTCAGCTCCCTTCCCAACTTTATTTGTTAATACTTTATTTAAGGGTATCTAGTTTTCGTATAAAACTTTGATAAGCAGTTTGGTGGACAAAAGGCATAGTATTTGAAAAGATCAGATTTTGACTCTTTAGTAGTTTCTTCCAGTTATATCCACTCCCACCCTTGCCCAACCTGTGTACCTTCTTTTTAATTTACTAGATTAGTTCTGTCTACTTTTCAAAACAGAATTTGTAGGGTATTTTCAGTTACCAGCATTTGCTGAGTTACACCAAATTAGGGAAAATTTTAATATATGTGGCTAGTAACATAAAACCTTCTTTTTTCCTATTTTCAGTATGATAGGAAACAGGTTCATTGTGATTACTTGGTTGGGGGAGAGGAGACAGGTGGGGAATGTTTGCAGCAACCCAAGATTAAACCTGAACTGGAACAAGAATGTTGGTTTTAGGATTTGAGGAGTGTATCTTACTCAGTAGTGACTGTTTTAAAGGTACTGATGCTAAGAGTGGCAAATGCAAACCATAAGAGACTTGTTGAATATGTGGTACCATGTAAAAGGATAGACCATGGCTGTAGGGTGATAGGTTAATTGCAGCATTTAGAATGAGTATATATATAAGGCTGACCATTGATCTGGGGGAGCTGGATGGTTACACAAGAACAGGCCAAGGGTACTTCTGCAAGTCAGAGGCAGTGCCATAAGGGATTAACGAGCCTTAGAGAAAAATACCATTGAGGTGGTGAGGTAGAGTGAGTTAGAGTCTAGTGTAGACATAAGGAGGGAGAATAAGTTGGTATATAAGGGACCATGGTTCCAGTCCTCTCTGCAACTAACTTGTGGCCCTGGGCAACTTGGAGACCTTAACTTCTTTGGGCTTTTGTTTCCTCAGTTCTGTAATAAGGACTTGTCCTAAATAATTGAGGTTCAGACTGCTTCACAGAGCCACTTTAAACTGCCGCAGATAGTGAGAGGAGAATCAGATGGCTAGGTCTTATGCCTTCCTCTTTTGTTTCAAAAACAGTAACTTTCCTTACTTGTGCACAAGATTTCATTTTGAGGAAGGATTCTCTTGTTTAAAATTTAGAAAATTGTTGTTTTAGTTAATCTCCAAAGTCTCATCGAGCTCTGAGATTCTATGCTGTATATATAATTTTATGCTAATCATATGTCTGTATTAAAACAATTTTTTAAATAATACAGGAAAGAGTAACTATCTAGCCCCACTCAAGAAAAAACAAACTACCCAGCAGTCCTTATTGACCTCCTCTCATTTTAATAAAGCTACCTTCTTCAGTCATCTGCATTGAAGACGATTTTTTTTTAATGGTTTTTTGTTTTGTTTTGTTTTTTATTTTTGGCTGCATTGGGTCTTCGTTGCTGCGTGCCGGCTTTTCTCTGGTTGTAGCGAGCAGGGGATACTCTTGGTTGCAGTGCGTGGGCTTCTCATTGCGGTGGCTTCTCTTGTTGCGGAGCACAGGCTCTAGGCGCACGGGCTCAGTAGTTGTGGCTCGTGGGCTCTAGAGCGCAGGCCCAGTTGTTGTGGCACATGGGCTTAGTTGCTCTGCAGCATGTGGGATCTTCCCGGACCAGGGCTCGAACCCATGTCCCCTGCATTAGCATGTGGATTCTTAACCACTGTACCACCAGGGAAGCCCTGAAGACAATTTTTAATGTATAATTTCACTATTTTGATGGCTAGTATTACAATAATACTATTTTTCCTTCGAAAGAGATAAAATTTTGGCTGTTAAATATTTTAAATAGGCTTTTGTTTAGGGTGGCATGGATTCTAACACAGATCCTATGTGAAAATGCATTCTGTGTTTGAAAAATAAAAGGAAGTGTTAGGTAAATGTATTCTTGGAAAACAAGGTACAGAGAACCACTGATATATCATATATGTAGGGAAACCACATGCTGTTGTTCAGTTGCGTTTAAAAAATGTGTAGTGCTGATTTTTTAATGAGTATTAGAGATTTGAGAATTGAATAATTTCAAATGATGTAGATAGAAAATTAGTGAAGCAAAATTTATTCTTTTTGTTTGAAACAGACTTACAAAGAACATTTAGAAGGGCAGAAACATAAAAAAAAAGAAGCTGCATTGAAAGCCTCACAGAATACCAGCAGCAGCAACAACTCCACTCGTGGGACTCAAAATCAGCTACGTTGTGAGCTCTGCGATGTGTCTTGTACAGGAGCAGATGCGTATGCTGCCCACATTCGTGGTGCTAAGCATCAGAAAGTAGGTGTTTTTTTCCCACACACCCTTATGTCTTACTCTGTTTTCTTCTCCTTTTTCAGTGGGGGGTTTAAAGTAAAGGTGGCTTCAAAATTTGAAAACTTTGAGTGCATTATACACCTTGCTTACATGTATATAAAGGTGACATCAAATACTCTTTGCTTAAGGAAGGAAAGACTGGAGACCTTTCTTCTTTAAATTTAACTAGATCGTTTTTTTCCACCAACTGGAAATTGAGTCATGTGATTGTTTTCTGCCTTTTGTCATGCTTACAACTAGGTTGGTAAGCATGTGGCCAAGTCATTTCCTTACCTGGTGGTAGATGGAATATGTATCCATATCTGCTTCACGGAGATTATTTTGAAAGTAATAAGTTTTTATCTAAAAATGTATAACAAAAAATACAAAAAAGAAAAATATAGTTAAGATTTTCATTTTATAGTGTCTTTTAGACAAACTTTTTAAAAAACTTTTATATTCTCTGAGTTTCCTGACAAATAAATATGCTTTTATTTTGTAGGTGGTTAAATTACACACAAAACTTGGCAAACCCATTCCTTCAACAGAACCAAACGTTGTTAGCCAAGCTACTTCTTCAACAGCCGTGTCTGCTTCAAAACCAACTGCCTCTCCTTCAAGCATTGCAGCAAGCAATTGTACTGTGAATACTTCATCAATTGCAACTTCTTCAGTGAAAGGTCTTACAACTACAGGAAACTCGTCTCTTAATAGCACAGCCAACGCTAAAGTATCAGCAGTGCCTGCAAATATGGCTGCCAAGAAAACATCTACACCCAAAATAAACTTTGTTGGCAAGTACTGAAGATTCTCTGTGTTCCTTCTAACTCTGTTAAAGTGATGTTTCTCTTCCATTCCAGGACTAACCCTTCTACTTTTGCTGTTGTATCAGTCTTCTCCTTTCCTGGGACCTTATTCAATCATATATCTGTATTTTTTTCTTGAAATTTTTTCAGTTCCCTTTTCTTCAGCCAGCAGGTATACCTGTGTCTTTCATAATCTTAAAAAAAATATGTATATATTTTCCCATTTCTCAGGCTGCTAACCTAATTCTTATTTTCTCTACTTACTATCCAGTCCTCAGTCTCTTACAGTGTTTCGACTCTGTGCTTTTCTGAAACTGCTTTCAGGAGTCACCAAAGACCTACTTGCCTGATTGATTGAGTGGCCAGTTTTCTGTTTCATGCTTTTGACCTCTCTAACATTTGACACAGTTGACTGCTATACCTTAAAGCTTAAGATATGTCTCTGTCTCTATTCCATGTCCACTCACCTCTTCCTCGGGTATCTTTATTGGTTCTCCTGCCTTCATGTTCATTAACTGGTGGTGTTCCTAAGATTCTGATTTTGGCCCTCATCTCACTTACCTAGTATTCATGAGTGGTCTCATCTATTCCACTGTGTATGCAGTGAGTTTAAACTCAGTTGGGCCAATTCAAAACCCCCACCTGAGTTCTAGAGCCATATTTTAGGTATTTATTGGTCACTATCTGTATGGTTCTGTTGATGCCTACTAGTGTCTCATTCTAACTTTTTATCTCATCACAAGAGTACCATGAAATAATCTCATAAACTGCTGCTTTTTCACATGGAGAACTTCACTGACATCATTTCTTCTTATTTATTGCCTCTTCCAGTCGTTTATCTAGTCCTTTTGTTTCTGTCACTACAGTATTTCTCCAAAAAGTGTTGTTTCCTCTTCAGAGCCACTGCCTTGGTTTTTTGGGTTTTTTTGTGGTATGCGGGCCTCTCACTGTTGTGGCCTCTCCCGTTGCGGAGCACAGGCTCAGCGGCCATGGCTCACGGGCCCAGCCGCTCCGCGGCATGTGGGATCTTCCCGGACCGGGGCACAAACCCGCGTCCCCTGCATTGGCAGGCGGACTCTCAACCACTGCGCCACCAGGGAAGCCCCATAGTCTTTTTAACGCCATGTTTTTGTGCTTTTCTTGTACATACCACTGTTTCTGTTTAGACATCATTCTCTTTTTTTCTGCCTGACAGTTCATACTCATTGCTCTTCTTTCAAAGCCCAGCTCAAGTGTCACACCCTTGGTGAAGCCATTCTTAACTGGGTCAGTTTAAAGGGTTGTGGGTCCTTTCCTTTACATTCCCACAATACTGTTAATACTTATAACAGCACTTGCCACATTGTACTCTAATGACTTATATATTCCCTTAAATTGTTGGCACCTCAAAGACAGCCACACTGTCTTATTCTTATTATATTACTAGAACTTAGGACAGTGCCCCATCCCATCCCATAAGAGCCATGGTGGGGACAGAGAGCACCACTGGATATTGGGACGTAGAGAAGGGGAAAGAAAATTCAGACATGTATTTAATTAATAAGATAAAAAAGCCAAGTGGCTTTTCAAACTTCTGACCTGCTCTGCGTCAGGCAGGAGTTTGACAATTGGTAGAAAAGATCAGAACTTTATCTGAAGTTCTTGTTGTATCAAGCCGTACGTTATACAAAAAGAAAATTTAAATCACTATAATTCTTTTATGCTCTTCTAGGTGGTAATAAGCTGCAATCAACCGGAAATAAAACAGAAGACTTAAAAGGAACCGAATGTGCTAAAAGCACTCCTGTCACTGCTGTACAGATCCCGGAAGTAAAGCCAGACACAGTGTCAGAACCAGTCACACCTGCGTCCCTTGCTGCTTTGCAGAGTGATGTGCAGCCGGTGGGCCATGATTATGTGGAGGAGGTATTGATTTGAGAATACTACTGCTGTGAGATCAGATAAAGGGAAGACGTGTGTCTTTGTTACAAGCATGCTTTACATGTATAATTATATTGAATTATATTTTAGGTTTAGATTATTTAAAAAGGAATATCAAAGGCATCTTCGTTGAAGGTTTTTTTTTTAAGCTTGCCTAAGTGACATCACAATTTTTTTGTTAACTTCTCTCTTTCCCTGCTGACAGCCATCACTGTGGTGTGAAGTAACTTTCCATCTATTTGGCAGGCATTCTTTTAATATAACCCTTCTACTGTTCTTCTGAACAGAAAAAGTAATAAAAATTGTGAGCAGCAGAAATGACAAAGACAGCAAATATTTCCTTCCGAACAGTCAGTTTCATGTGTAAAATTAAGGTTGCTGATTTAACAGATACTGTTTATTTGATTTCCCAAGCTGATTAGAAAACTATTCCTGTTTTACAGACTAAGTAACTCAATAAATGGAGGATGAGGGAACGTCAGAGGGGCTTGATAAATATTTGCTGTTAGCAGAAAGACTAACATACAGTGGTGTAGCCCTACTCTTTACTTTTGCTGTATTGTAGAACAATTGTAGAGAACAAGTTCTCTGAGCTTCAGTGTCTACATCTATAAAATTTGGTTATCTCCTAGCAAAGTTACGAAGCTTAGATGAAGTAAAGTACCTAGCACAGTGCCTAGCCTACAGTAGATTTTTAGCAAGTATTTATTTGTTCCTTCATCCTTTTCCGCATCAAGAAAAATTACATATTGAGTTCTTTGTTTACAGGGTGGAAAATTGGGCTATGCAGTTTGAAAGTAGTTCATATACAATTTTAATTTAAAGTTATACCTCTTGGGAATTCCCTGGTGGTCCAGTGATGGAGGCTTCATGCTTCCACTGCTGGAGGCATGGGTTTGATCCCTGGTTGGGGAACTGAGATTCCACAATGCCGTGCATAGCGCAGCCAAAAAAAAGGACATTTAAAGGTTAATAAACTTCTTTAAAAATAAATTAACTAATTAAAGTTATAGCTCTTAAAAGAGTAAGACTTGGTTGTCTAAAAAAAAAAAAAAATGTACAGCCAGAACACCTTAATTGCCAGTGATGTTGGGTAAAATAATCTTAAACTTCAGAGAATTGAGTTCAGAACCAATTTTTAAAACTTGCACCGTTTGAACTTAGAATTCACTGTAGACTTTTTAATAACATTCTAGCCTACTTGTCTTCCTAACTGGTTGTGCAGTTAGAAAAAAATTGATACTGGTTTTCTATAAAGTTACATGTATAAAGTCTTGGGCTTTATAGAAATAAATGTGAATAATGCCTTTCATCATCTTTATCTCCATTTCCAAGAACAGTACCTGGCCAGTAGCAAGTATTGAGTAAATATTTATTATAGAATTTAAGGTATCTAATTGCATTTAAATCTAAATGTTTATATATAGACACAAGTATTAAAAGTTAATTACAAGAGCCAAATACATGCTAACACGTCTTGCATGCTACAGTTAAAAATTCTAACCTTTAGTTCATTTCTGTAGATTATCCTTTTTAAAAAGTATAGACATAGCCCTGTTTTCTTCTCACTTCAAATTCTAAAAGTTATTTACAACCCATGAGGGTTTATAATTGAAAACTTCAACTGTAACATTCCTGTTGTGATTCTTGAATTTTTTTTTTTTCCACATCAAGGTACGAAATGATGAAGGAAAAGTAATTCGATTCCATTGCAAATTGTGCGAGTGCAGCTTTAATGATCCCAATGCTAAGGAGATGCACTTAAAAGGGCGAAGACACAGACTTCAATATAAAGTGAGTAAAATTTCAGCTGTTTTCCCTTTTTATATGTCTTGGAACATTCTAGATTCAAAAACAAGGCCTCTAAATATAACTAAGTCTATGAACTCCCACTCCAGAACTGGCATGTAATGTCTCACATAGAGTCAGATGTTTAGTCTTTATTGACTAGTTTGTTATACTTAGGAAAAAATGATATCATATTTCATTACTTGTAGTGGCAAAATAAAGCTATAACATTATTTGGATCAAGTAATCATGTAAAGACAATTGCATCACAGGAAGTGTTTGAAAGAAGTGTCAGGTCTCCATTCTTTTCCTTTATCTTGGCAGAATCCCCACTAAAATGAATTATGAGATGAGGAATTCTTCATTGAAAACACTTCAAGTGATAAGTTAAATCTAAATAGTGTATTCAAAGTTTTTAATTAGGTTGGACTAATGCACTAGATTCATGTTTTCTAAACACAGAAGTGAAAGTTAAAATAATAGTCTGTTAAAGGGCAATACATTTATATGAAAAGAAACTTTTTGACCCCACACTCAGGTATCTAGAATCATTTACTTACAAACAAAGGAAAATTAATATCTGTCAGTCTTCTAAGGATTTCTTTTATTGGTTAGCACTAAGTTATGTACGTTTTACATACTAAATGTATAACTTTAAACTTTAACAACTAAGAATTTTGGGAGTGGGAAGGAAAGAAGAATGTTTATGAATGTATTCTGAATTTTTCCTCTGATTCAACTTATTTTACTGCATTTACTCTTAAAATAGGAAATTTGCAAATAAAAGCCCCTACGATGAAAGAATATGTGGGATTGTATGATTTAAAGATACGTGTAGTAGGTTGTTGGAGGGGTTGCTGGTTTTTCAAATATCTTGTCTGTATTAACAGAAAAAAGTAAATCCAGATCTGCAAGTAGAAGTAAAACCCAGTATTCGAGCAAGAAAGATTCAAGAAGAGAAAATGAGGAAGCAAATGCAGAAAGAGGAGTATTGGCGAAGAAGAGAAGAAGAGGAACGCTGGAGAATGGAAATGAGGTTAGTATCTTTAATAGCACGATAAGTGGTTTAGCCTTTCTAAAAAACGTAGCTATTCTGAGTATGTGACATCCATTCAGAGCAATCCAGATTTATTTAATATACTTTTTTTTAGATTTATTTATTATTTTATTTATTTATTTATTTTTGGCTTTGTCAGGTCTTAGTTGTGGCACACGGGATCTTCATTGAGGCGTGCAGGATCTTCGTTGTGGCACGCGGGATCTTCGTTGTGGCGCACAGGCTTCTCTCTAGTTGTGGCATGTGGGTTTTCTCTTCTCTAGTTGTGACACACAGGCTCCAGGGCACACAGGCTCTGTAGTTGTGGCACGCAGGTTCCAGAGCATGTGTGGGCTCTGTAGTTTGCGGCACGCAGGCTCTCTAGTTGAGGCACGCGAGCTCAGTAGTTGAGGCGCGTGAGCTCAGTAGTTGTGGTGTGCAGGCTTAATTGCCCCGCAGCATGTGGGATCTTAGTTCCCTGACCAAGGATCGAACCTGCGTACCCTGCATTGTAAGGTGGATTCTTTACTACTGGACCACCAGGGATGTCCCTATTTAATATACTTTTAGTTTTCACTTCTCAGGAAGATCTTAGGTCTAGGAGAGAAATGCATTAAAACTAAGTTATTGGCTATTCTAATATTTAACTGTGTCCTTGGTATTAGGAATTAAGTTGGAAATGGTATCTTATATATATTTAAATACATAAATAGTTTAATACTATAAATAAGTGCCTCAGTTTAAAACAAGCAAAATAGAACATTTGGTTACATGATGAAAATATCCAGAATATCAGATTTAGTAGCTTCTAGACATTAATAATGTGTGGGTTTTGGGGTGTTTTTGTTTTTGTATCTCAGGAAACATCTATTATAAAAACTTCAGAGGCTCCAGGGAAGGAGAAATGAGAAACATGTTCAAGAGATATGTAAATGTTTCGTTTTACTGATGTAATTGGCATATCTTTAAATGGTAACAATTAACTGGTTTTTATTATATTCACAGAGTTGTGCAGTCATTACCACAATCAATTTTAGAACATTTTCATGACCTGCAAGAGAAACCACAAACCCATTAGCAGTCAATCCTTATTCCCCCCCACAACTCCTCCCTCTATCCCCTAGGCAACCACTAATAAACTTTGTCTCAATAGATTCACCTATTCTGGAGATTTCATATAAATGGAATCACAAAATATGTTGTCTTTTGTGTCTGGCTACTTTCACTTAGCATAACGTTTTCAAGGTTCATGCATGTTATAGCATATATCAGCACTTCTTTTTTATAGGTGAATAATATTCCATTATGTGTATGTATCATATTTTGTTTATTCATCAGTTGATGGACATTTGTGTCATCTCCACTTTTGGGCTATCATGAATACTACTGCTATGAGGATTTGTGTACAAGTTTTAAAATATAATTAAGATAAATATAAACAAGTGTAATATATGTGTATTTTATAACCTACTTTTTTCATTTACATACCAACTCTTTTAAAAAGTAAGCTAGAATTATTTTATCTTATTTTTCATGGCTACATAGTATTCTCTTGTGCAGATGTAAAATTTTCCTTATAACCAATTACATATTGTTAGATATTTAGGTTTTTTACAGTATTTCCCTATTATAATTATTACATTGACCATCCTTGAGGCTATATTATTGCATAAATCATGATTAGTTGCTAATAATAAAGTCTCAGAAACGAAAATGTTTGACTGGCAGATACCCATACGTTTTGCCTGTACTGGATAGTTTAACTGGTTCTCAAACTTTTTGGTCTCAGGACCTTTTATACTCAATAATTACAAAACTCCAAAGAGCTTTTGTGTATATGGGTTATAGCTGTCAACATTTACTGTATTAGAAATGAAAACTGAGAAGTTTAAATATTTATGAATTAATTTTTAAATGACTTTATGTTTGTTAAAATGTAGTTAAATATTGATAATTATAGTATTAGATCAACCATATTTATTAATGTGGATAAATATAATATGCTAACTATAAAATAACTATATTTCTCCCCCAGAATAATGAGAATGACATTGTTTTATATTTTTTCAAATCTCTTTAATGTCTAGCTTAAGGTAGCCTGATTTTTCTATCTACTTCTCTGCTCAACAGGTTGTGATAACACATTTTGCCTCTGGATAACTCCAGTGTACACTCATAAGAGAATGAGAATGGAGAAGGCAAATGTCTTGTTATTATTATGAAAGTAATTTTGATGTCATGGATCCCCCTGAAGGTGTCTCAGGAACCACCTAGGGTCCCTGGACCACACTTTGAGAACTGCTTCTATAACTTATTAAAATCTCTGCCAATGAGAGAGTGAAACACGAAAGACAGTTTTGTTTCAACTTTAATTGTTTGTATTGCAGGCAAATTAAATTTTTTTTTTTTTTTTTTTTTTTTTAAATTCTTTATTTATTTTTGACGGCGTTGGGTCTTGAGTGCTGCGCACGGGCTTTCTCTAGTTGCGGCGAGCGGGGGCTACTCTTCATTGCGGTCGGTGGCTTCTCTTGTTGCAGAGCACAGGCTCTAGGCGCGCAGGCTTCAGTAGTTGTGGCTCGCGGGCTTAGTTGCTCCGCGGCATGTGGGATCCTCCCAGACCAGGGCTCGAACCCATGTCCCCTGCATTGGCAGGCAGATTCCTAACCCACTGTGCCACCAGGGAAGTCCCGGCAAATTAAATTTTTATTTCATGCTTAACCACTTACGTTTCTTCTGTGGTGAATTGCCTGTTTATTTGTTTAACTTACCTGTTGTTGATTTGTACAGATACTTCTTATAGCTATTAACACGTTATTAACATGTTACCTTTAAATAATCTTTGTTGTTATGTATGTATCGATTTTTATTTAGGTATCTAAATCTATTTTTCTTATTCTTTATGAAGTTTCTGCCTTTGTAATGCACTGGAAATTTTTCTCTATACCTAGATTACACAGTTACTTCCTCTTTTATTGTTATATCAAATATTTATTAAGCACTTACAGTTTGCCAGGAAGTAGCACGTAGTGTGTTAGACACCAAGTATGAATTGGTAAACAATGGATAAAGGTCCCTGCCCTTATTTAACATAAACAGCTTTAGTAATAACAAAGTATTCAGTACTGGAATGAACATGGTTTTCCAGAGCCTTCAAGCTCAAGACCTAAATAACATAGAAGTATGGTTCTTTCTGTCCTTAGTGGGATGACCTAAAAAGCACTGCTTATTCCCGACTGAAGAAATTGGTGGTTTCTACAGTGCTACTTGAGAAACATACTTCTTTCCTATGTTTTGTGTTAAACAAATTTGTCTGGTAAAAAGTTAGTTGTTACAAAACTTTGCTATAAAGACAGGACTACCTTGGGAGTTATTGGTATCCTAGTTTGAAGCTGAAAGCGAAGATAGAACTGAGAAGGAGAGAGTGACATGGTAAAAAAGAAATTAGATTCTGAAAATGTTGACTATTAAAACAGAGGCTACACACAGGCTACACACTAGCTGCCCACAGTCCAAGTTCAGTCCGTGGGTGTTTCATTTGGTACACATGGTATTTTTTGGATACCAACATGAACCAACACTTACCATGTATTACCATCTGTATTCCCTTATGGCAGTAATTAATAGCTGTGCTGTGGCTCAGAGCATGTGCTTTCTTCTTTACCATAGTTCCTGTCACCCTTAACATGTCCCCAAAAGTGAAACACGGTGTGAGTTGCCATTTATCTCAGTTGTTTTTCCTCATTGTAGAGAAGTGTCTTTGTCTCTCTGCCTGTATCAGTTGAGGAAATTAAAGGTAGTCTTCAGAAGTTCTCTCTTAGAAAAATTAGGAGAGAGCACATTTCTTTGGAGACATGAAGAAAATTTCTGAATGTATGCTTTGAGTCTTTCACTCACACACATTGTTGGTCTGGTCACATTAGGTAGGCATTTAAGTTTACAGTCTCCTGTAAAGAGGGAGAGGTTAGAAGGAACTCTGAGGTTTCTGGTGCTTGTTCTTTCAACCCTGTCTTCAGGCTGGGAAATTTTGTTTTGCTTTTATCTTTGTTTACTTATTCTCTTTTCACTGGGATTCACTTCCATTTACTGCTCAAGCAAATAAAGGTAATCAGATACAGTAGGAGAAAAGAGATGTAAGCTAGACTGATTTGGGCTATTTTTTAAATTGCTTTTTATATCATTATTGATTTAAATTCTTGGGTTGTATTTTTCTTATAGACTTACAGTATCATTCTCTATGTTTCAGACGTTATGAAGAGGACATGTACTGGAGAAGAATGGAGGAAGAACAGCATCATTGGGATGATCGCCGCCGAATGCCTGACGGAGGCTATCCTCATGGTCCCCCAGGCCCACTAGGCCTCCTGGGAGTCCGACCAGGCATGCCTCCTCAGCCGCAGGGGCCTGCAGTGAGTGTCCACTTTGTTTACATAGGGGGTGAAAGTGTAAGACTGGCTCAGCATTGGAAGATAGCAGTTTGGGGAGCTAATTTTTAGACCTAATAATATCCAAGTTCCAATATAAGTTTTTCATCTGATTTAGAATTTTCCCTCCTTTTATTACAGGTTCTCAACTTGTGTCCTTATTTATGAGGACTTCATAGAATTTCCATGCATCTTTCTTACTTTCACTATGAGTTAAGGGAGCAGAGCTTCTTTTGCCAACTCTTCTTTCACATAAGAGATTTTCTTGCCTTTGTTCTTTAGATTGTCAAGAACAACTAATTTTGAAGGCAGTTGCTTTGCTTTCAGAATTATTCTTATCTTCCCATTACCAGTGGTTTAGAGTCTTTTTTCCTTTTTCAAATTATGAAAAAAAACCTACCACTACTTCTAAATTAAGTGCAGGACAAGGGGTAAGTAAATGGTCCAAGATGAGCACACAGTGGATGTATTAGGAGAACTGTAGGCAAGAGCTGCATCTTGAGAGTTTGTGTTCTGTGGAAGCTAGATAAAAGAAGACATACTGGGCTTCCTTGGTGGCGCAGTGGTTGAGAGTCCACCTGCCGATGCAGGGGACACGGGTTCGTGCCCCGGTCCAGGAAGATCCCACATGCCGCGGAGCGGCTGGGCCCATGAGCCACGGCCGCTGAGCCTGCGTGTCCGGAGCCTGTGCTCCGCAATGGGAGAGGCCACAACAGTGAGAGGCCCACGTACTGCAAAAAAAAAGAAGACATACCTGGGTTATGAGGAATATTTCATATAAGTTCAGACTGCAGAAAACAAGATGTTTTTATTCTTTGTTCTGTTTTCTAGAGGGCACTTAGAAGGAAACAGCAACAAATTCCTGCTCTTAAACTATTCTTTCTCATTTGTCTTTCCATAGAATAAGTATTTGTGAAACTTGTTTTATTAAAAGCAAAACATTTCAGAATCGCTGGTTGTTAAAGTTGAGTAGAAAGTATTTTTATAACCTTAGATGGTGTGTATTATAATTTTACTTGTTTTGAGGCAAAGCATGCATATATACATAGATGCATACTCATTCTTGATAGTGTAACTTTCCATAGTTTACATGTTTGTTTTTACTGAGATGGAAAGAAGGGAAAAGATGGCTTTAAATGGACATTTTGCATAATTGACTTTTTTATTGAAAAGGTGTCACAAACATATGTATAGTTGAAAAATAATAATTTACTTTTGCTTGGGAAGCATTTTTTTTTAATGAAGTTATCTTTTTTGTCTTCTCCAGCCCTTACGTCGTCCTGACTCATCTGATGATCGATATGTAATGACAAAACATGCAACCATTTATCCAACTGAAGAGGAATTACAGGCAGTTCAGAAAATTGTTTCTATCACTGAACGTGCTTTAAAACTTGTTTCAGACAGCTTGTCTGAGCATGAGAAGAGCAAGAGCAAAGAGGGAGATGATAAGAAAGAGGGAGGTAAAGACAGGTGTGTTTTCAGAGTTTTTTACTTTTGTTTAATTTTGGTTTCCCTTATGTGGACTTCTTATACTTGAAATAAAAGTTACAAAGACTGAAAATTCTCTGTTGTCAGTCTACATGTGTTATGCTTGTGTTAGATATTTAATGTATTCAGCTGTTTTTTGCTGAAATGAAAAATAACAGAATTTCATACAGTCTCCAACCTTGTAATTTTACTCATTTTATTTAAATTTATATAAAACTATTTCAAGTCTGTTTTCAAAGCAGCCTTTATAGTTTTCAATTGCATTTAGCTGCGCTTCAGTTTTTATTTATCTGTTGCATCTGTTTACTCTTTGTTTTAGCAGCTTATTTTTCCTTAACACATTGACCCATAAGTGAATAAGCTCAAGCTTTAGCAACATCTTTCATATCAAGTTTGCATTATGATCTATAACTTTTCATTTTCCCCTTAACCATTTGGAAATATCTTTGTATATATTGAACATGACTTTTGTTCTAATTTGTAAAGTGAGACGCAGAAAAGTGTTAAATGGCCTTCGCGTTGCAGTTGTCCTTGTGAGAACTTATCTCTTGATTTATTAATTTATCCATATTTCTTATCTAAGTGAAGGACACTTCTAAAAATATTGAATGTTTTTATACTGTAGTTGATTGAGAATTTTAACGGTGTAAAAGTTATTTCACTTACTATTGTGTGTTGAGAGATTATCGTGGTTCTGGTTGAGAAGGGAAATGTCATAATATAACTTGATTTCACTGCAGAGCTTTAAAAGGAGTTTTGCGAGTGGGAGTATTGGCAAAAGGATTACTTCTCCGAGGAGATAGAAATGTCAACCTTGTTTTGCTGTGCTCAGAGAAACCTTCAAAGACATTATTAAGCCGTATTGCAGAAAACCTACCCAAGCAGCTTGCTGTAAGTATTATGGAAATGTTCATTTTTACCCCTTGTCTGGTTCAAAAGTTTTTGGCAGGACTAACTGTGCTTCAGCTTAATCTTAAGCCTGCCTTTAAAGTTTTGGTTTGACTTTCCGAATTGAATTTTTTCCTGATTGTACAAATTGGTAGAACTGTTTTCTACTTTGTCTTTTTAGGTTTTATAGTGCTCCTCTTTGGCATGAAGCCATCTTGCTAATTTATTTTAAAATATAAAATTGCAGCACATGTCCTCTTCCTGTTCTTTTTTCCAAGAGTTGAATCATTAAGAGATGAGACTTTAGGGAAAAAATGGGGGTTTTTTGTTTTGTTTTTTAAACAAAGCCCATGTATGTAAAGCAAGCTTAAATTTTTAGAATTCATGAACTTCTTGCCTATTTAGTTGAATATATGTTTTTAATAAAGTATAGTAACTAAAATAGAGACTCTTTCTGATTTGAATTTCCCCAGTTTTATTATGATTACTTTCAGTTTTCTATGTGTTATAGTCGTAGGTCTTAGCTCTCACTGTCTCTCTTCAGCAAATTGTGGCAATGCACAATTAGTAGAATATCCCCTTTTGGTCCTACAAAAAAAACTTTTTTAAGTTTGAATTTTTAAAATTTTTATATAGTATCTTGTCAGAATCACAGACTGGGATTTAAAATAAAGACTTCTTGAATAACTTAATGTATAAAACTTATTTAGATATTTGAAATCCAAGAATTGACATTTCATTGGTAATATGTATTCCACAGTAATGTCAGAATAAATAGTACCTGACCACAGCAGAGCAACCGATACCAAAAGGGATAGTGAAGCATGCTATTAAACTTGAGCTCTGGGCTTCCCTGGTGGCACAGTGGTTGAGAGTCCGCCTGCCGATGCAGGGGACACAGGTTCGTGCCCCGGTCCGGGAAGATCCCACAGGCCGTGGAGGGGCTGGGCCCGTGAGCCATGGCCGCTGAGCCTGCGCGTCCAGAGCCTGTGCTCCGCAATGGGAGAGGCCACAACAGTGAGCGGCCCGCGTACGGCAAAAAAAAAAAAACCTTGAGCTCTGACGACTGTGGCACTTACTGTTGTTTGCTTTATATTACCATTGTTCCAGATGTGAAGTTTCTTACTGTAGATTAGTCTTTTTAAGTATTAGGAGCCAAGAGAATTGTCATTGTGTGTCTACTTGTTACCCTTTGTTGACGCTGCTAGAGCAATGAAGGAGAGGAGACTCAGAAGAGGTTTGAGGACTTTGAAAAAATTATATAATTTGCGAGAAACATCTTGATCCTAAATTGTGGTGTTTAGTAAATCTACAAAGCAGGGGGGCTTCCCTGGTGGCGTGGTGGTTAAGAATCCACCTGCCAGTGCAGGGGACATGGGTTCGAGCCCTGGTCTGGGAAGATCCCATATGCTGCAGAGCAACTAAGCCCGTGCGCCACAACTACTCAGCCTGCGCTCTAGAGTCCGCAAGCCACGACTTCTGAGCCCGCATGTTGCAACTACTGAAGCCCACGCGCCTGGAGCCTGTGCTCTGCAGCAAGAGAAGCCACAGCAGTGAGAAGCCCTCACACCACAAGGAAGAATAGCCCCCACTCGCCGCAACTAGAGAAAGCCCGCGCGCAGCAATGAAGACCCAACACAGCCCCAAAAAACTACAAAGCAGAAAATACTATATCCTAACTAAATAATTAACAATTACACTAAAAGCAGCATACTCTTTCCAAATCATTCTATGTACTTACTGTACAAGTGGATAAGCAAGAGAAATAGAATTTATTATCATCATCATCATTGTCATAGTTAATGTTTATATAATTATTACTATGTACCAGGCACTGTTTTAAGTGCTTTATATAGTTAATTCATTTATTCTTCCAACAATCCTATAGGTTAGATAAAATTACTGTCCCTATTTTATAAAAACAGGTAAAGGGGAGTTAAATAATTTGCCCATCTTCATATCATTAGTAAAGTAGCAGAGCTAGGATTTGAACCTAGATACTGTGCTGTAAACAATCCGTGTAATTTCTGTGAGTCTTCATTTGTTCATATATACTGAGACTTATTTCATGTGTACTGAATTGCAGTGAATCCTGGTTTTTCTTCTGTTGATCAGGACTTTCTGCTCCCTGATAAAATGTAGATCTGTTGAGTTCACAGACAAGGTACACTGGGAATGTTTGAATTATGGCTCCTGTTAGTTTCAGATATCTATTTTAGTCTCATTCATATTCTGCAAGTACTTAACTACCCAAGATGCTATTAGGAAGGTACGGTAATAAATAGGGCAGTGTTTCTTTTATCCAAGAACTCATCATCTAAGAGAGACATACACACATACAAATAACTCATATGATACAAGTAATGGTAAATATTAGTTCAACAAAATTCTAAAAGGAAAGAGGAGCAAGAGATTTATAATATTTGCATGTATTACAAGGCTTCTTGGGGGAGTAATATATGATCTAGTCCTTATAAAATGGTTAAGGTAGTGAGAAAATGAAAGAGACATAGTGAAACTGCTTTGTTTGATAATGTTAAAAGGTCCATCTAATTTCCTGTACTCTTCATTACATAGGTTATAAGTCCTGAGAAGTATGACATAAAATGTGCAATTTCTGAAGCGGCAATAATTTTGAACTCATGTGTGGAACCCAAAATGCAAGTCACTATCACCCTGACGTCTCCAATTATTCGAGAAGAGAACATGAGGGAAGGAGGTTGGAAAGCCATTAAACATTCTACTTTCTATTAACTTTTTTTTTCCCATTTACCTACTCTTTAAGATGGCATTAAGCCCTAGAAGGCAACATGCTGGCATTACATATGAATTTGATAGATTTGACGTATATAGCAACCAGTTTTGCTTAAGATCATTTCCCAGATCTTTTATTAATGTCTTTTTAGCAATGTACGTTTATATAAAACACTCATGGTATTATTGATTTTCTTGATTTTTTTTTCTTTTCTTGCTAACCTCAGATTTCTGGAAAAAAAAAAAAGTTCAAAATTATTCTTACCAGCATAGTTGACCCATGAACAAATTAAAGAAATGTTGCTAGTGAGGGGCCACAAATTTAACTTCTGTTAAGTTCTTGTTCTTGTCTTAAAAAAAGACAAGAGAGTTCCATAAATAAAATTGGTTAAATATTCATAACACAGTTTAAGAGGCATTGTTATGTATGTAATCATGGATTTGGCTTGTCCTGAGGTAAATATTTCTGGTTCTCTGAGGTTGCTCTTTGGTTTGAAGCGTTTTCATAAATGCAGAGCATCCTAATGCACGTAGATTTGGGCATCTGACCCCACTATTATACTAGAGATATTGAAAACTAAATGGTGTTGGCATAGCTAGTGAGTTACAGCACAATTCAGGGTTTTTAAACTTACTTTACAATTGTAGAATATGAAATCCTGCTGGTGCCAGCAATGTTGCTTTAGGGACTATTGTGTAACATTTTCAAAGCTTCAAAAGCTTTTAAGCCAAAAAGCATGGTCAGTGTCTGCCGTATGTTGGTTCTGTTGTTTTATGGGTCAGATAAAATTTACTTTGTTTCCTTTCATGTTGTTTTTGTACATCTTAATTTGTTGATATGGAGTTATAGTCTACACTAATATTTCTTTGTGATACAGATAGAGGAGAAAAGAATACTTAATTTGTCTAATAGCATAAGTAGGCTCTCAATTACTGTCCCTTTAAATTTGTTTTCTTACAGCAAAGCAATTTTTTTTAAGGCACTGGGCTTTCCACAACCCAGGAAAAGATAATTTTTACTAAAAATGCGATCATTGGGAGACATGTCTAACTTTGCATACATTATATATACACGATATATCAGGACTTGTATGTTGTGTAAGCTTTGCATCTTAAAAATGGGTTTGTGTAGAGGATCTTTTATATGAGCATGAGTTTTCCCACTCAAGGTCTGGCTGTGGATATTGCTGGAAAAACAGTGTCTGAGTCAATCTGGTCAATTCATATGCAGCATATGACTCTTAGGATTTGAAAAAGAAATCTTCGAGATTATGTTATAAATAATAGTTGCTGTATTTCATATGAAATTATACTCATATAACCATTTAACTTTATTTCAGAGCACATCTTGTCCAGTCATATTTAGGCTTGCTTAAATTGGTGCAGTATCAAGTAATTTTATTTTGTTGCAAAAGTCTAAAGTTAATAGTATCATATTTCTAGTAGTCTTTAATAATCTATCCCTTCTAAAGGAAACAAAATTATATTTTTGTCTGACCCAGACTTGAGTTATTGTTCTGAATTTCATAAATATTATGGTGAGAGAAGTGGTCAGTCCAAAATTGAAAGATTTTACTTCAAGACACTGAGCTGAAAAGTTGGATGTGCAAAAAGTGTAGAAACATTGATAGTGTTCTTTGCTGCAGATAACTGCAGTAAATCATGTCTTTAGCTTCATTATGAAGATTGCTGCAGAATAACGGTATGTATTCTCTCTCACTGCAGCTCTGAATGCTCTGTGTCTTAAAATCATTTAAAGCCTATAGCTTGCTTTGGGGAGTTAGTACAGGGGTAAGGAAGGCTTTGCCGGAAGAGCACTTGTAAATCGTGAGACTGGCGACTTGCGCATAGTTGTGGTAGCCTCTTAATGCGTAATGGTCCTGTTTGATACCAAAAATTATTTAAAGGAGATGATTAAATTGCCCAAATAACTGTTAAACACATTACAGATCTATTTTATGTTACTGTGTTTGACAGTTAAACATTAAGTAAACATTTAATTGACTTGAAGCTTGAAATGTACAAAATGCTCTAACCCTTGCTACAGCGTCTCTTCTGTAGCAAGTCAAGTATTATGTGTGTTTTCTTCCACCTTTAGCTTATCAGGCCCGGTCCAAAGCCTTCTAGCAGAGGGAATTGATTCCTGTCAGGGGTTGCTGCCAAGACATCGGAAGGATTTTTGACCAAGGTTTTCAAAAGCTCAGTGTCACACCTGCCATTTGATTAAGGAGGGATTTTGGATGCAGAGTCTGGCATTTATTGTCCTTTGTGTGGCTGTTTTGTTTGTTTTGTCTTTGTCTCTCCTAGAATTGAGCAGTGTTCACACTAGTTTTTAAATTGTTGGGTGGATTACATATTTTACATAACCATGTTAATTTAAATTAATATATTCCCATTAACTTTTAATCATAAAATAGTGTGGACACAGCATGTCTTCTAACTGGTGATTAACCCCTTAAAATTTATGAAACACACTTTTGTAGGGTAAGAATTTGCTTTCTTTTAAATAAATTAACTGGTTTTGTTTTGTTAACTGGGTATTAGGAAGAAAGTATGATCTTAGTACAATATATCTAAGGGGTTAATCCACTTGAAATATAGAATGGGTGCAAAAATCCACACTCTAAATTTGCCAGAAATTTCCTACTTATAGCTCTTAAGTTGTTTTTAAATTGCAATAGGTGTCTTGGCATCTTTGAAATTATATCATTAATTTAAATTTCCAAAGTTATGAATGCTTGTGTGCAAAAGGAAAACTTTTCTTCCGTATTGGAGGAAATTAAAACATGAATTAACATTAAAAATTCAGAAACTTTTAGAAAGAGATTGCACATTATCACCTATTTGCATTTTAGCTTTAGCAGATAATGTAAATAAATAAGGGACATGGAAAGGGTTCTTCAGCATGTTCTGTAACCTTGCTTTGGGGAGTGGTTTTTTGTTGTTGTTGTTTCTTGCTTTTTTTTACTTCTTTAATTAGCTGTGCTTTCCTGTGTTCCTTTTCCTTCTCTCAGAATAGCCCATTTCTTATGTTCATTATACTTCTGGATTCAGTAGTTGGTTTTTCAGGTTTTGAGATTGTTTATTAGTTTTTAAAAATTACTACTATTTCTGACTTGATACTTTTCTTTTTAGTACCCACATTCCTCTTTCAGTGTTCATTTTCAGAATGCCACACAGTGTTCTTTGATTATCTGTAAAATTCCCTTCTAATATGTATTCTGAAAATTTGTGCCATCTGATTATGTAAGGAGTAGGAACTAAGAATAAAAAGCCCAGACAAGGGATGAAATTCTTTATTACTTTTTAAATATGCTTTTTAATATGTCATCTACGCAAAATAAGGACAGATATCTTTTAAGATTTCTGAATGCTCATATAAAAATAGACAAATAATTTGCCCAGCGTTGCTAGTACTCTTAAAGTAAAATCATCTTCATGTTTTCTTTTATCGTATATTTCATCTTTTGTCCCACATATTCATTTGGTGCCCTCAATGATTTATAAAATTATATCCTAAATGTCCCATAATTTTGGTGCTTTTTATCTAGAAGACTGTTTTCAGTAGCTTACTTGCCTGGTATGTAATTTTCCTATATTTAGAAAATATTTTAAAATCACCACAGTTGTGAATTAGATTGACTTATACCTATGAATAGTTTGATTAGCAAATTTGATTAGCAACTTTTATACACAGTTTACAGATATGTTTTAGATGAACGTAAAGCTGGCCTTTTATGAATGAAAAGTTAACTTCTTGTCCTGATTTAGGTTCAGATTTTCTTAAGTTTTATATAGCTCATTTATGTTTTAATACAATAATCTGATTAAAATCAGTTATTATAACTGACTTGCAACTTAAAAGATTCTACAGATATATCATCAAACCATTCTGCTTACTGCATCTGTTCTATTTCTATACTTATTCTATTTAACCATGCTAGTTCCTATTGCCCTTTTCTACTTTACTCATTGTTTCTCTCCAATTATTCTTTGAATTACTTCATGGGAACTTTGAATTTTAAAGGGCATTTCATATTCCCTTAATTCTTAAAGCTAAAATTCTCTTGTGGAAGAGAAGTCATTGAACTCTTAGAAATGCCTATTTTTGGCTCTTTATTTTTTTTCTATGATTATTACTTCATTGATCATCCCATATTTATTGTTAGTTCTTTGACATATTAGCCCCAGAATAACCTATGACCATTTAAAATACTGAACAAACTCAGTAGTTTATTGTACATTCTCATTTATTAAGGTGGATTTTTGTGTTCCCTTTTGTCTTGTCGTCTTTGTGCTGGTGCGCTGTGTCCAGTAATCCTTCCTTTTGATTTTATTTTGGTGGGTAGGGTTTATATTTGCAGAAATTATTTATTATATTTCTAAAATAAAGAGTTTAATTCTCATCTTGATCTTCATGTTAGATTATGTGAATTTGTTGAAAATAACTCCCTGGGTACTTTAAAGTGTTGACAGACTCTCAAATGGCTCATGTGACACTGATGCTACTTTAAGGAAGTGTCTTGCTCACCTGGTCAAACACCCATTCCTCACTGCATTTTGCCAATTCAATCCATTTTAGATGTAACCTCGGGTATGGTGAAAGACCCACCGGACGTCTTGGACAGGCAAAAATGCCTTGACGCTCTGGCTGCTCTACGCCACGCTAAGTGGTTCCAGGTTCGGAACATCATTTTACTTTTTTCTTGTAGCCTTATGAGAGAGTAGTTCAGTACAACATGTTTAACTGTGTTTAAACATTTCAAAAGATTGCCCAAGCAATACTATTTTAAATTAAATATCAGAAAATGTTAACATAGAAAGCTGGGTGTGAAGATCTGCATATTGCAGTTACTATTAATTTGACAATAAACTCAGGTTTTGGGGGTGTTTTGTAGTTTGGGTTTTTTTATTTTTATTTTTAGTGGCTATATTTAAAGTTGACTTGTTTAGGAACATCACAAGTTTGTGTACATATATTATATTCCATAAGGCTGCAGATTAACTTTGCTTTAAATAATGGAATATGTGTTTAAAGCTTTGTGTATAGTTTTAAGATTTTCCCCCCCTCTTTCTCTAAGTTAATAAGTGTAGGGAATGAAAGGTGAGGAAGCAGCTGTTTGGTTTAGTGACTTTGCAGTTATGCAAAGGCACAGAAAGGAAACCAAACAGATTTCCTTAATCTTTCAGTCCCTAGACAAACTTTTTAGCTCTTTACTTTTTCTTTTATTTCTAATGTAGGCAGACTTTTTTTTGAAGTTTACTGTTTTAAATGAACACAGGTCAAGGTTCACAGGGGATCAAGAACAATTATTCTTGTATAATCTGTTTACTTTGACCTAAAATATCAGCTTTTAAATACTAACCCTGGCATAAAATATTGCTGTAAATGGCAGCTCATTGAATCCAATTTTAAGCGTGGTTATTTTTGTTTTATTTTTATCTGAGCTTCCATTGAACAGTGGTATTTTAACTTTTTTTTCATCAAGGGATACTTTCAGTATTTCTAAGATTAATTCAGTTGGTTTTTGTGTTGCTCTCAAGGCTAGAGCTAATGGTCTGCAGTCCTGTGTGATTATCATACGTATTCTTCGGGACCTCTGTCAGCGAGTTCCAACTTGGTCTGATTTTCCAAGCTGGGTGAGTAATATGTAATTGTATGGTGTGAAAAATAAACATATAGGAAATATTTATGCAGTTTTTTAATAGACTCATCTTACATCTAATTATCAACTTTCTTTTCATTTCCTAAATGTAGTTTTTTTCTTCTAGTGAGAAATCCTGGGGTCTTAATTTTCTGAGAATTCCACTTGATTTTCTTTCTGTATTTTCCTCTCTTTTTTTTTTTAACTCTTCTCACAGTGTTTATTACTTTCTTTAAAATAGGACCGATTATGAGTTGTACATACATAAAGGTACAAAGAAAACTAAAAATGAGCTATTAATCTACCTATGCAAGGTTTTGTTGACATTTTAACAAAATAATTTAAAAGGAATTTTTAAGATTTAGAAATATACATTATTCAAAAATGCATAAAATTAGGAAATTCGAATAATGCAGAAAGGCATGAAGTAGAAATGAAAGCCTTCTCGTCATTTAAAGGCAAGCCATCTTGACACAGTTTGTTGTGATTTTTTTCCTAGGGGAAAAAATGCATGCATATATATCGCGTATGTTCCTTTTTTAAAAAAATATTTATTTGTTTGGTTGTGCTGGGTCTTAGTTGTGGCAAGCGGGCTCCTTAGTTGGGGCTTGCCGGCTCCTTAGTTGCAGCACACCAGCTCCTTAGTTGCGTCACGTGGACTCCTTAATTGTGGCGTGTGAACTCTTAGTTGCAACATGCATGTGGGATCTAGTTCCCTGACCAGGGATCGAACCCAGGCCCCCTGCATTGGGAGCATGGAGTTTTAACCACTGCGCCACCAAGGAAGTCCCATGTATGTTCCTATTATTATTTATGTACATAAATCCCTTTGATATTGAACCGTTTGGGTTCCTACAAGAATTCAGATAGAGAGGGATTCATTCAGAAGTATAACTGAAACTACTGATTCCAGAGTTGGGTTAGAGAGAGTTGAATAGCCAGGGTTATCTTAATTCTTTTTTTTAACACTGGAGTGGGTCATGCTGTTTACATTGTTTGCATCTTTCTCAACAAAATGCATCTTGGAGCTCTTTGAGAGCTGTATTGACTATATGGTGTTGCCTTTGTATGGATATGCAGTATTTTATTTAACTGGTATCCATTTAATGGACAGTTGCATTGTTTGCAGTCTTTTGCTATTAAATTTTCATTGTATTGTTATCAGGCTTTTATGAGTATTATATACATGTGATAAATGGCTAGGGTCAATTGCTATAGAATTCCAAGGTCAAAGGACATGTGTTGATTGTTACCGGAAAGGTAGATCATTTAAAACTTCCAAAAATTGTTGAACTGATCATTTCCTTCACACCCTCGCTAACTTTGGGATATCATCACGCTTCTTTAACATGATAGGTAAAAAAAACGGTGTCTCATTTTTTATTTAGATTTCTTTATGTGATTATTGGCATTTGTAATTCTTTTTCTCTTAACTGCCAGTTCCTTTATTATTCGTTTTCTCAATTTATAACTCTATAAGAAATTAACTCTTATCTGTATTAAAAAATAAGTTTTTCCAGTTGTTCATCTGCTTTTCAACTTAATTTTTGCTGTTTTATAAAAGCTTTAAAATCTTTGCAAATTTTAATCCATTAATGTTTTATGACTTAACGGTTTTATTTCTGCTTATAAGATTCTTTCATATTTTAGGTTATAAATTATTCACACATGCTTTCTTCTAGAGCTTTTTTTCCCCCCATCATATGATATTTTCTACAGATGATTGCTTGCTTGTTTATTTAGTTCTTTAGTCGTAATACATAGCAAACCTCCTGGAAGGATGTATTTCATATTACAACAGTGGTTATCTCTCAGTAGTGAGTAGTGAGATTGGTAGAGATCTGTAATGTTTGGATTTTACTAGGATGAAATATATATTTTATTACTTGTATAATTAAAAATTAATTTAAAAATCATACATGGATTAAAGGTGGATCCAGCTATATGTTTTTCCAGACCAATTACCAATTATTCCAGTACCATTTAACATTTTATTTAGTAGTGATGTTTGTTCTCCCAACCCCCACTTTGAAATATCACCATTATCATAAACCAGTGGTTCTCAGCCACCATCAGTTTTGCCCTCTAGGGGACATTTGGCAATGTTTGGGGATAACTTTGGTTGTCAAAACTGGTTATCAGTAGCACTGAGGAAGAGAAACCCTGTCACAAACCAAAGTTCCTTTTTTGCAGGCCTACTTCTGCAGCCCTCTTTCATTGCTCGGTCTTTTCTAGTACCAAACTCTTTTAATTTTTAAAGCTTCATAGTGTGTTTTAAAATGCTGATAGTCCTCTTCATCAGAAGTCTTCCCTCTTCATTCTCTGCTATTCATTATAAACACCATCTTACACAGAAGATTTTTTGGGGGGTGGTGCTTTTCTCATGCTTCTTTTTCTGAAAGAACTTGACTACTGTTTTGTTCAGTTTCTCCGGTTCTCTTGATGATTTTTAAGTAGCACTGTATTGAATTAATAATTGGTGGAATGTCATCACTTTTATAATACTGACTCTTCTTTATGGGATGTCCTACTTATTGGAATGAATGTTACACACTTATTTAGAGTTGAATGGGTTCTGAGCATAGTTGTTTGTACCTAGGTATTTATCTTCTAGAGTTTTTTAAAATACCATTTTCTGGTTATTGTTTATATATATTAAATATATTAATTTTGTAACCCACCACCTGACTGCATTCCTTTATTTGTAGTAATTTTTTTCATGTGATTCTCTTGGCTTGGAATCATATCTACCAATCTCTTTCCTAATTTAGTTGGTTGATACTCCTAGAATAATTATGGAATAAAAGAAATAATACTTTACATGCACGTTATGTTTTAATTGCTTTGGAAATGTTTCTAGTATGTAAAGTCTGTTAAGCATGGTGGTATAGCCTTTTATTTGAGATCCTTATTTCTTTGTAATGTTAGAAATGTCAACCCTCTCTTAGTTTACTAAGTAATTTTGAATCAGGAATGTAAATTGAACTTTATCGATAATTTTTCAAGGTTTCTTGACATGAATGTATAGTTTTTCTCCTTCACCCTGTTAATATTGTATATTTACAAATATATCTACTGATATTGAGCTACCTTTGCATTCCAGAGATGGATTCTCCTATATTTGAGAATAATCTCAATGAACTGTTAAGTTCTGTTTGCTGATAGTCTATTTAGGAATTTTGCAGTGACATAAAGGAAATTTTTGTGGTTTTATTTTTGTCTTCTTTGTTAGATTTAGGATCAATAATACACTAACTCTATAAGAATAACTTAGAAGCTTTCGTTCTTTCTCTAAACTCTGAAACAGTTTTTAGAAGCATCAAAACTATGTTTTTTGGGACTTCCCTGGTGATCCAGTGGTAAAGAATCCGCCTTACAATGCAGGGGACACAGGTTCAATCTCTGGTCAGGGAACTAAGATCCCACATGCCGCAGGACAACTAAGCCCATGAGCCACAACTACTGAGCTTGCACGCCTCAACTAGAAAGCCCACGTGCCTCAACTAAGACCCAGCACAGCCCAAAAATAAATATATATATATATATATATATATATAGTTTTTTAAAAAACTTTTTTGATAATTTATAAAATTCATGTGACATCATCAGTCATTTATAAAAGGGGTCACGCTTTCTTGGTTTCTTTTATTGTGATTAATTGGTTTGTTTAGTTTTTCTTTCTCTTGGGGTAATTTTTGGCAACTTATCTTTTCCTAGAAAAATTGACCAATTCAGCCAGATAACTCACATTTTTAGACTTTTAAAAATACCTGTAGCATCTTTTTTATTTTAATTCTTTGATTAGACTAGCCAGTAATAGCAGTTGCTATATAGGAACAAAATAGCAAATGGGTGTTCAGTATTTATTTGTGATGAGAATTCACTGAATTCTTAATAGATTTTAAATATAAAAATTTATGAGCATTATATAACTTTAAATTTTTTAAATGTTGAAA